ACTACGTACAAGGTTATCATTCCTCAATATATCTTGTCCTGATACATGTAAGTGATAAATAAATCTTTCAAATATCTTTTTTATGTTATCATGCATTCAAAAGTACAAAAACCTTTATATTTCAAGTAGCTACATGTATATATCACCATTTACTTTGTGACAGTAGTCCAAGTGATTGTTGGAAAAATACCATTTACACTGTGTCGAATCACCCCGCGTTTTCTTAATTTACCTCACCGCTGTACTTTGCACAACTCTGCACTGGAGATGACTCAATTAGCAACTATTACAAACAAAAATAAAAAGATAGCTTGAACAAAGCTCGTTGCAAAGCAACGAGTCTTCCGTCCTGTTTTGACTGGAAGGGACGTCAACAAAAGAAAGGAATAAGTTAAGACGTCTCCTGTGACTTTAAAATTTCAGTTTTGCATCAGAACCTGCAAAATAAGCTATTTCTGGCTACTTCCGGTTTGACCGGAAGTGATGTCGAGGGATGAAAAATTTGGTTGGACGCTTCTGCTTACATAAATTAACCAATAATATGTCGGATACAGTAAAAATATTCATTTTCTTACTACTTCCGTTTTGGCCGGAAGTGACGTCATTTGACGACTTTCGACAATCTTATTCGCTTTTACTTGTCATTTTGAACAATTTTGCTTCTTTGATGTATCACAAATTCTCAATAGTTTTTGAGATATTAAGAAAAATATTTTAGCCCTTGTAGATCCCTTATTTTAGGAGCCAGCCCCTATTTGTTGATATCAAATGAAAGAGCTTCTCATTCTGCACAAATTTTGTTCAATACGTTTTAACAAAATATTTACAAGTAAAGAGATATTCTTGAAAAAATGCTAAAAATTTTGATAATCTCAATATGACTATTTTCAGAGCATACCGAGCGCCAACGTGCGGTACTTCCGGGGAAGATGAACTACTAAGTACACGTTTATAAACATTGCTCTATCATCACTGAAAATATCAAGTTCCTATTATAAGTGTTTCTTTAGAAAACGAGCGGACAAAGTGACCCTCTAAATATCACTGAATCGCAGAAATCTCCGGACCGGAAGTGAAGTCATCAAATTGAGAAAAATATATATCTATATTTTTTGATGTTCTACTAGACCTGAAAGTTTCATGAAAATCAAATGAGCCGTTTCCGAGAGCTCGCGTGCACAAAATTGGTAGGAAAAAAACAATAATAAAAATAGTGGAAAAGAAACCTAAGAATAACAGTAAGGTCTTCAAGCAAACATGTCAAGTTTCTTGTTTACATTTACATTTGTGAGAGAATCGGAGTTATCATAAGCATAAACAGTGTTAATTTTGCATTTGAAATCTAGTTTTTGTGCAGTGTAGAAAATAAAAATGTCAGGCGTAGCAATATGTTTATTACTGGGATTCTTCTCTATTACTCCTATAGTATTTGAAAAGAAATTCCCATAGACCACTGTTTATAAATAAAATTGAATGCATATTATACGGTTGTATATATTTCAGACATGCAGAAATTTCATGTCCTTTTTATGTCTGCAACGTCTGCTTAATTTTTGGACGTCCTACTGACTCTAGACGAAAAGACCAAATAACAACTAAATTGTCTGACAAGCGGGATGACTTCAGGTTTTTCCATCGTCAGCTTTCCTTCTTTATGTAGTAATATTCCGCAATCATTTGCATATGATGTTAACGTCTACCAAATTATTCGATACCCAAGAACACGGTTAATTTTAAATCGAGGCAGGCTACTGACATATACATGTAACGTGATGTTACAGGTGTTTAAACAACCTCGTTTTAAGTCAGCATTTCCTAAATTCAATCGTCGTATCAATGACCTTGTTAACGAATATAACTTATAATTGGGTCAACTGCTTGGCTTTTTTTTTTCTATACTAAATTCGACAACGGAATGTCCCCTGATTTATTCATTGGGCTAACGGCGGCTGTGACGGGTCAACAGGGGATGTTTACTCTTTCTAGTCACCTGTTCCTACATGTACCTCTGAAATTTTCAGGGGTCCTTTTTTATGCCCTATAAACAGAATTCTATAGTTTATGGATATTTTAAAATCATCCTTGTTCGTTATCTTCACCTTTTTTTTTATCGTTAGGAAATATATCCACAGTATGTCGTTCGCACGTGATATTATGTCATTTGCGATGTTCTACCTCATTTGCACAACTTTTTATGTCATTCAAAATATTTTTTTTTTTCATATTACATTGCACATTTATTTCCAAAAACTTATCTCATTCATTTTTTTATTCACTTTTTTAAAAAAAAAGTTGATCGTACTCACAGCATGCTGAATTACTATTGAGAACCTAGAACATCCCGCTTGTCTATTATTTAGATATGAATGTCTATAATCAGTAAAATATCCAAATATGAAACAAATGGAAGACAGTCATAAAAGGAGATTACCTTAAGTGTTATAACCAATATTAGCCATTTTGCGATTTGCTGAGAACACAGTAGGCTTAAAAGATAGAAATATGCATGTAAATGCAATGCTGTTTTACTGCATTTTAAATGCGCTTTCGTCCAGTTTTGATCAAAAAGGGTATAACTTTAGAAGTATTAAACACTAAGGTTCAAATCTTGGCATCAATCACCTGTTATAAATTGTGTTTCACTCTTTTGGAAAAGGGGTTCTTTTCCAATGGGGGGGGGGCAATTTTGAATAGGACGCACATATAAAATTATGACCCCTAGGGCTCTTTTTCTTCAAAAAAATATTTTTTTTCTACGGCTGGGGGATCATTTTTTGTCGTTAAAAAATGACCCCGGTCATTATTCTATGGGGTTCATTATTCGTCTTTACACCGGCTTAATCAATAAACTTACGATCCTATCCTTGCTGATGAATAACCGTTTAAGAAGCTTTTATGACAAGTTGTCTTATGTCGTTGATATATGAAACATAAAATATTATATAATGACAATGTAGCAAGCTTAAAAAAACCTTAAATGTAAATTGCTTTTAATCAAACTGCAATTGCACGGCAAAAATGAAAAAAAAATAATTATGAACATACTTATGTAGCTCTCTACAGATTAGGGTATTTCGAATCACATGTGTACATTATGAGCACTGTGCACATAAGTTTATTATATGTAAGATATATTTCCGTAACATTGCCTATATTCAAATACCAGTGGTGTGAAATATACCATCATACACCTTTATATAAGTTTTCTTAACTTAGATCCGCCTCATATATCAAATTTTGAGAGGTCTAGAGGCCCCCTCCCCCCTTGTTGAATTTTTAGCGTAATAACTTTCTGACGTTAAGTAACGAAAAATTGACCTTGGAAAACACCCCTTTTTAAGAAAACGGACCCCTTGTAAAATGGTAAGAAGAATCATGTATCTGAAGAAAATTGAATAAGGAAACTGCCTTGCCTTAACCACCCCCTCCTCTCCCATCTTTCTTCAAGGGTTAAGTTTTTTTTTTCTTTTTTTTTTCTTTTGGCTCAGAATGAAAAGTTCGAAGACTCTTATTTTATCGTATATTATAACTCTAACCAGAAGTTGATGTATCTTCTGTAAAGTCCTTAAAATGTATTGAGGTAATAATCGAGGAATAAATGAGTAGTTTGAAATAGACACTCGACGATGGACGTCTGGAGCGATTTATTAGAAAAGGAAAAAAGTCTCTCAAAGCGAACAATTTCATGTTAAATAAGGTTAATAATTGATAATTAATAAAATACAAGCTTGAAGTGTATGTGTGTGTGGAAGGAAGAGGGGGGGGGGGGTGAAATTGAGTTGAGCTGAAATTGAGTTACATCTTGTGAAAAGATTTGTTTTTCGTCTGCCCTCTCAAATGGAGTAGCACAGTCTCTGTACTGACTCATTGTTTTTATTCAGCATCAACGTAGTAAAAGACTGTAAATTACAAAAAAGGTTATAAGAAATTACATACAAAATGATCGACTTAAAACATTGACTCTATTATGCTACATTTATGACCAAACCGGGTTTCCATACTTTTTTCTTTTAACAGCAATCAACTTATAAGCAATAAAACTGGCATGTAATAATAACTCAACAAGAAATCAACAAATTATCCTTACAAATTCACATATACAAGTATAACATAGTGACTAGATTGTATAAATCTCAGAAAATGATTTGAACACAAACCACGTGCTTAGCCTTACACAAAAAACCAGGTCATGTTAACCATGCGTAGATAATGCTTTAAATTACTGAAATATTTGACAATAAAGGTTTGCGTCCTAACACATGAATATTAAGATCTTATGTTTATAACTTATGAAAGTGTACTTACGCTATAGGGCTACAAAGTCACAAAGTCTAGTAACACTTTTGCACATGTACAAATATGGCGCTTGCCAAAACTACGGGAAGTAACTCTTCTAACAAACAAAACAAAAAGTTAACTCATACATAGTTGATTCGGAGACATTACACTCCCCGCCTAATGTCTGAAAGATATTACAATTTACAAAGACATTCTCAAGCAACGTTTTCAAATGTTTGTCTTAGTCAATCAAGATAACAAGTTCTGTAATAGGGCGGATATATGTTGTTGGCTTACCATCCTTGATAATGCGCACCTCAACTGTTCTTACTCTGTGGTCACACTCACTTTTAAAGACATTCACAATCAGTCCGAGTGGCCACTGTCCACGGTGGGCTTCTTTGTCGCGCAAAAGAACAACATCACCAACCTTTACATCAGGACGTTCAGTCTGCCACTTACGTCGCACTTGGAGTTGCTGGAGGTAACCATTCCTCCAATGCTTCCAGAAGATATCCGACAAGCACTGCACATGTTTCCACTGTTTCCTGTATATTTCCTTCATGTCAGATGAGCTAACAGGATGAATATCAGGAAATTCCTTCTGAGTAAGTAACATCGAAGGGCTGATAATCTGTGGATTTTCTGGATCAGATGATATTGAGCAAATGGGTCTTGAATTTACAATGGCACAAACTTCGCACATAAATGTGCACAAGACTTCATGAGTGAGTTGTTTTGTGTTCGCATTTAGTAACATTGAGTTCAGTATTTTTTCGTGACACTCCAATCATCCTTTCCCAGGTTCCGCCCTGGTGTGACGCATGTGGGGGGTTGAAAGTCCAAGTTATCCTATTCTCAAGAAGATAATTGTGAATAGGTCCCTTTTCAGTGTAGACAGCTTCAGCCTTTATGTCATCAAGGGCTCCTAAGAAGTTGGTTCCTCTATCGGAACGGATTTCCTTCAAAGGTCCACGAATAGAGATGAATCGGCGTAAGGCATTAATAAATGATGAGCTGCTCATCTCCTCAATGATCTCAATGTGTATTGCTCTTGTTTTCATACAAGTAAAAAGCACAGCCCATCTTTTGCTGTGGGAAAGGCCCCCTCTAGTTCGTCGTGCCACTACTGGCCACGGCCCAAATACATCGACCCCTACTGAACTGAATGGAGGTCCAGATGTAACTCGGTCAGGTGGTAAGTCCGCCATCTGTTGAAATTCTAACTTCCCTCTAAGTTTCCTGCACACTACACATTTGTACAAGATGGAATTAACAAGGCGCTTACATCCGATAATCCAAAAGCCATTGGATCTCACTGTACCTTCCGTGATGAGTCTACCCTGATGATACACTTTCTCGTGCAGATGAGTAATGAGAAGTCTGGCAATGTGGGATTTTCCTGGAAGAATGACAGGATTTCTTTCATCTATAGTGAAGGGTGCTTTGTTTAGACGTCCACCAACACGTAAAATTCCTTTATTATCTACAAAAGGATGAAGAGCAATGATATTGCTTTTCAAGGGAAGTGTTTTCTTCTCCTGTAAACACTTCATATCATCTCCATACCAGAATCTCTGAGTCTCCCTGATAATGAAACGTTCTGCTTCCTGAGTATCTTCAATACTGTGCAAAGAAAACTCAGCTTTTCTTCTGCAAAATCTCTTTAGATATGAGACTGCATTCACCAATCTTGTCCAAGAGGAGAACTTCTCAAATCTATCCACTAAATGTTCCTTCACCTCTGTTTTCTTGACACAAACTATGGGTCGTATTTCTGCATCTGCATCTGGATTGACTAAGGGGAAGCTTTTGTCCTCTACCTTCTCTACAGACCTCAGTTGTATCGGTCCTCTGAGCCAATCGCTTTGAGACATGTCCTCAAAAGATGTGTAACACCTAGTTCCAATGTCAGCTGGATTGTCCTGTGTGGAAACAAAGGTCCACTGCTCTGGTTTAGATCGCCTGTGTATCATGTTGATCCGGTTACTGACATAATTGTAGAATCGACGAGATCGGTTATGTAGGTATCCTAGAACGACCCTGCTGTCTGTATAGTATTTTGCAGAATCTTGATTTAAGTCAAGCTGTTGGAATACTGTCTGAACTAGTTCCGTGGCTAGAAGAGCAGCACCAAGCTCAAGGCGTGGAATAGTATTTCCTTGTTTAGGTGCTATTCTCGACTTCCCAATGACAAATCCAATATTGACTTCACCTAAATCATCAATTGTCTGTAAGTACACAACCGCAGAAATTGCCTTTTCGGAGGCGTCTGAGTAAACATGAACTTTGCTTGAGGAAGCAGAACTCAAGGACACTGGAGTATACATCCTCGGAATGCGCAGATTCTCCAAGGCATGTAGAGATTGCTTCCATATAGTCCATTCTTCTTCACGATCATTGGGTAGAGGTTCGTCCCAGTCATCATTGTCCTCACATATCTCCCTGTAAAGTATCCTACCATGTATGACTATAGGTGCGATAAACCCAAGAGGATCAAATAAACTGTTAATTATGGACAGAAGACCTCTTTTTGTAAACGGTTTTTCTGGGATGCGTGCACTGAAATTCAAACTATCTGAATTGATGTCCCATGCTAAGCCAAGGCTCTGTTGGATCGGTAACTCATCAGCCGCAATGTCGAGCGACTTCAGATTCTTTTCTAAATCTTCCGCGGGAAAAGCCTCCATTACTTCAACGCTGTTCGATGCTATCTTGTGAAGTCTGATCTTGGTTTCGTCCTTCAGCACTTGTTGCGTTTTTCGAAGCAGATTTATGGCTTCGTCACTTGATCCCACAGACATGAGCCCGTCATCAACATAAAAATTTCGGGTAACATAATTCTGTACCTCAACTTCCGCTTTTTCAACTGTCTTGCGTAAACCATATGTTGCTACCGCCGGCGAGGGTGTATTCCCAAACACATGCACCCGCATTCGGTATTCGATTAAATCTTCACACGGTTCATTGTTTCTGTGCCAGAAGAAACGTAGAAAATCTCTATGGTCCTCTCGGACCAGGAATGAATAAAACATCTGTTCTACATCTGCCATAAAGGCCACTCTGTTCATACGGAAGCGCATAAGGACTCCCAGTAGTTCATTGGTCAGGTTTGGTCCTGATAGCAGTACTCCATTGAGGGATAGGCCCTTGTATTTAACGGACGAATCAAATACACCGCGTATTTTGTCAGGCTTCCGTGGGTGATAAACTCCAAAGAGAGGTAAGTAAAAGCATTCTTTCCCTGCAGGCAAAGGCGGAGCCACCTCCATTGCACCACTGTCTATGAGTCCTCTCATGAAAGTCACAAGATGTTCTTTTTTCACTGAGTTCCTCTCAAGACTAGCATCCAACATGTGGGCCCTCTTCAAAGCTTGAAGTCGGTTGTTTTCCAAGACTGGCCTTGGTTTTCTAAACGGTAATGGAGCTTTCCACTTTCCACTGGAATCTTTCTCAAAACCTTCCTCCATGATCTGCAGGAATTGACGATCATCTACAGAGAGGCCAACTTGGTCATCGTCCGCTGATATTTGGAAAATGTCTTTCTTTACCACATCCTGGTGTGGCACAATGCCCTCTGTCAGGCGGAAACTGTTTTGACATGGTTCGAAAATGGACTGACGGCCATCTTCAATCACTGTAGTTTTGTAGACAGTGACACCTTGTGGCTTGTGTAATCTGCCAAGGCACACATCTCCTATCACTACCCAACCAAGACTCAACTTCTGTGCAAAGGGTGAGTCCTTAGGTCCTACTCGCTGATCATGTATATGATGTGCTTGTATCAAGTCTCTACCAATCAGTAAAAGTATTTTGGCATCTGTGTCAAGCGGAGGTAATGATAGATCCCTAAGATGCGGGTGGTGATTGACGACTTCTGGAGTCGGTATCTCGTGTCGCTTATCTGGAATCTCATTGCACTCTGTAATAGTAGGAAGTTCCATTACAATGGATCCATCGACTGCAGCTATCATCAAATCAGAGGCTCTGCGACCGCTTGAGTGAATGCGTCCAGCACATGAGGTAAGCGTAAATGAATGAATTTGACTATTGGGAACATCCATATAGTCGAACAGCTCAGATCTTCCAAGTGTTGTATTACTCTGGTCGTCAACAAGAGCATAAAGGCGCAGACGTTTTGAAGGTCTTCCCTTCGGATACACATCCACCAAGACGGCCTTTGCACATGAACGTCCAGAAAACTGTTCTCCACACACAGCTGTACATTTCGTGAGAATATTACCTTCCTCCCCGCCATGCTGTCTCTGGCCCTGAGAGCTCTCAGGCGGATGAAGAGCAGTGGGGTGCTGCTCACTTCCACAATCCTCACATTTCACTTCTGCGTGACAGGCTTTGAATCTGTGTGTGTCCAATTCACAACATCTATAGCACAAGTTATGCTCTCGCAGGTATTGTTTACGATCACGAATGGATTTTTTCCTGAATGCCCTACACTGGTTTAATGTGTGCTCAGCATCGTGAATAGGGCATCTCTTCTGTGTCACCTTATGGTCTCTTGTTGACTCTTTAAAATCAGTCTTCTTAACAGTCACAGATTTTACTGGTTTGAAGTTATGCTGGTTGAATCTTGGGGTTTTCGGGTCTCGATTTTCTTTGGCGAAAGTTGGAGCTACTTGTAGGCCAGGATCATTCATCATGGTTGAAACTTCCTTTACAAAGTCACAGAAGACACTAAATGGAGGGTATGGGACCCCATGAGTCAGCTTATACTTTGAAGCTTTAGAAGTCCATTTGTTTTGCAAACTGGGTGTTAACTTTTGTACTATTGGAAGCACTCCCACTGATGTGTCAAAGTAACTGAAAAGTTGGCTGTACCTTGGGTTTTCTTTTAAGGCAAATATTTCACTTAAGATATCTGAGAGTTCATACAGTCGTCTAGGTTCACTTGCACTGAGTCGCTGGAAGCTTGCAAGTTTGGACTTTAATGCTGTTTCAACTAATTCCGGTGAACCGTATCTTTCCTCTAATCTAGCCCATAAGGTCTGGCATCCTTGAGAGGGATTCCCTACTGTTGCTGCTCTGATGCTTTTAGCATGTTCCTTGGACTCAGGGTCGAGCCATCTGATCAATAAGTCTAATTCTTCGAGAGGTGTAACTAATGCATCCTGAACCACAGATTTGAAACTTGCCTTCCATGCTACAAAGTTCTCTGGCTTGTCATCAAAATTAACAAGTCTTGTAAGCATCAGATCCTTTTTCAACATAAAGCTTGCTAGATTGACTAGGTTGTCTTTCTGTGATTCAAAGGGTCGAGCCTCAGGATTCAATGAAAATGATGGTTCACAAATTGGAGAGTGAGTAGCTGTATTGTTTGCTGCTGAAACTTTCGGTTGGGTGTATTCTACATTTTCTGTTGCTGAAACTGACTCCAAATTCCTTAACAGGTTAACTTCTTCAATGAATTTTCTTGTTCGTTCTGAGGAGTCAATATTAGAAATAGATGTTCTAGTTAAATTGTCTATGTCTCCATTGTCTTCCTCCCTTGCTCGTAACTCTGCTTGGGCTGTTGCTAATTCCTTTTGTGCGTCCAGACACTCTAACTCTGTCTCTAACTCTGCTTTTTTCCTGAGGGTCTCTGCCTTAGACTTTTTCTCCTGTTCATCAAGCCTTGCTTGCTCTTTCTTTAATTCTGAAGCTTTCTGCACAAATTGCAGTCTTGCTTTGGCTGCTTCTGCTTTTACCCTCTGTTCCAATAACATGGAAGTTGTGCTTCTGGAAGTCGTACTTCTAGATGCTGATGATCTGCTTGATCTTGACCTTCCACTCACAGATCTTGCTGTGCCTTTAAGAGACACATTGTCCTTCAGGTCATGAGAGAGTTTGGATTTTGAATCTGGTGAAAACTTTGTATCTGTATCCTGTTCCATGATTGTGTCAATTTCCTGGAGGATACTTTCTACTTTCTGTTCCAAGGAGGATATAACTACCTCTTGTGCAGCTTTTTCTCTTCTGCTGTCCTCAGTATTTGTTCTTACAAGAAAATTCAGAAACTCTTCACTAATGTTATGGTAGTCCTGAGTAAGTTTCAGTAAACTTTCTTTCAAAATTACCAGGATTTCTGTCTTTCCAGTTGTAAGTTCATTGTACGAGAATTTCATTTCATTTTCTAGTTTTTTTCTAAGCTTTCGTAGTTTGTCACAGAATTTATTCACATGCTGTTCATACATTTGCTTCCCTGCCGCTGTCAACTGTCTAGTAGATCTCTGAGAACGCTGATCTGTTGGAGGAGATTTGTGTGGTGTGGTTGAACCGCCCTAGTTCTCCATGACTGCCTACGTAGTCCTAGCTCTTTTACTGTACTGACTCATTGTTTTTATTCAGCATCAACGTAGTAAAAGACTGTAAATTACAAAAAAAGTTATAAGAAATTACATACAAAATGATCGACTTAAAACATTGACTCTATTATGCTACATTTATGACCAAACCGGGTTTCCATACTTTTTTCTTTTAACAGCAATCAACTTATAAGCAATAAAACTGGCATGTAATAATAACTCAGCAAGAAATCAACAAATTATCCTTACAAATTCACATATACAAGTATAACATAGTGACTAGATTGTATAAATCTCAGAAAATGATTTGAACACAAACCACGTGCTTAGCCTTACACAAAAAACCAGGTCATGTTAACCATGCGTAGATAATGCTTTAAATTACTGAAATATTTGACAATAAAGGTTTGCGTCCTAACACATGAATATTAAGATCTTATGTTTATAACTTATGAAAGTGTACTTACGCTATAGGGCTACAAAGTCACAAAGTCTAGTAACACTTTTGCACATGTACAAATATGGCGCTTGCCAAAACTACGGGAAGTAACTCTTCTAACAAACAAAACAAAAAGTTAACTCATACATAGTTGATTCGGAGACATTACAGTCTCACTTGACAACGTTTTCTGCCCGATTTTTTAGTTCACTCCTCAACATACTTAGAAAAAAAACCGCTTCTGTCGTTTTAATATACTGAAGACCGGGAAAGATATCCATATGGTACCAGACTTTTCACCGTCGCAAGTCATGGATTTTGGGTTCATTTGATTTCCGAAGTGGAAAAGAATAGGCACAAAACCCGTGGCTTGCTACGGTGTAGACATTAATTACTCATGCGTTTCTAAAGGCAAGGCCGTAACTACCATTGAGGCAAGTGAGGTAAATGCCTCACTAAAATTCTGAAGTTTTCTGAAAAGTGAAGAAAGTTTTGCTTTTAACTTTAATTAATTATGTGTGTCTTTGTAGTAAATTAAAACCTCAATTTTTTTTTTTCAATTTCAGTAAATTGATCATCCCACCAGGTGCTTCATTATCGTTTAGAACGCATGTAAATAAATAAAAACAGAAAAACTTCAAAGATTAAGTTCTTAATTGACTAAAACCCAGCTTTCGGTAACTCACCCACCCACTACGAACACCTTTCAGGACACTATCTTGGACTCATTTGGGACTCGAGTGGTCTCAGATCCCTTGCCTCACTAAAATTTGAGCCAAGTTACGGCCTTGAAAGGAGTGGATTCAAGTATAGAACATTTGAGCATAGTCCAATGCGCCGCCTGTCTCATCGCAGCAAAGCAGTTTTTCAACGTCAGATTTCAAGCTTGTGTATATATAAAACGGTGGAGGGGGAGGGGAGGATAAATCGTAATGCAACACGTGGAGGGGGAGGGGAGGATAAATCGTAATGCAACACATAAAGTAGGGCAGGAGAGCTTTTGGATGAAAAATTTTGTACTAAATTAACAGCAGAAAACTAGTCTTAAAGGGAGGCTGCTCACAATATAGAATGGGTGTTTATTCCTATTGCGTGGTTCATGACCTGAAAGTTTTATTTCATAGAAATAATGGAAGTGTGTGTAAAATTTACTTTCGACTAGTGTGTGCATAAAGTTTATTTATTCGACAGTAGAAAGTAAATAATAATAAAAAAAATAATAAAATAAAAATAAAGAAAAAAAATGATAATGAAAAGATAAAACAATAAATTATAAAAAAAAAAATAATTTATAAATAATTAAATGATGAAATAATTGACACACCATCGGTAAACTTTGTTAGTGTCACTAAATTAAATACTGGTTAGAGATAAGTACCAAGTCCCATTGTATCTTCTAAATACTTATCGAAATAATTATAAATTGGAAACGGCGGACCATCTCGACGATGTTGCACGTGTTGTGGATGAATCGGAGTCCCACGGAAGAATGAATGTTGGCTGTTTCTGAAATTTCTGCTATTTGTATTGCTTACTTTACTTAGTCCTCTTCGTGCTGGTCAGCATATTAGGCCGTCCCCAGAGACTTCCATGTTAGGGTTGCTGGCCCTTAGCATAACCCTCTGAACTCGGAGGGCCAGTGGTTTTCTTTCAGGGTTGTCCTTCCCTTAGAAGATTGTGTTTAATTGCTTTCCTGCCCATGTACACGAATTTTCTGTCTGGATTTTCTTCCATAGCCTTTGACTTTCCTAAGCCTTCCTACAAGGCAGTGAGGCTATTTGACCCATAGCTAGGGGCTAGGTTTGCAGACACAAGGGCATATCCACTCACCGGTGGGTCATGCATGCCTTGCATTTAGGGGCCTAGTTTCCTCCAGACCCCGTGGTTCTGCATTTGGCCGTACGCAGCACAGTTAAGGCTACAATAAGGAGGCGGAGCCGAATTTATACGGGAACATTAGGCAAACCTCGGCTGATTCGTCACCTTCATCAGACCTCGGCTGTACGAGGAAACATGATATGCGTTTCCGCTTAACATTTGTGATAAGGCTGCAAGTTTACCGCTTAGGGAAAACGTAACGCTTTGAAAACGATAATAAACATGCATATGATATACAATAAAAATTTTCAAAAGCATTTAGGTAACACTAAGAATAACATTTACCAAGAAAAATGTACTTAGTATCTTTACATAATCACATGTTTGTTAACGGATCGAATTCAGCACACTGTGCACGTGTTAATGTAGGGCGCAGCCATCTTGCGTATAAAGTAGCTCCGGTTCAATGGAAGTTTACATGATACAGCCGAGGATAGATTGAGGTTCGAATCGACCGAGGTGTGCCGAGTGATACGGGAAATGCTTACTATGACATCACACAAAAGTATATGTTCTTCAAATTACCACAAAATGAAATGATTTGCTATTTTAATCTGTAGGATAGCTTTAAACTACGTCAGTACGTACTATTGCATGTATTTTTGTCGTTGGTTAAATCCCACACAGCAATATATAAACGATTCATTGATCGCAATGCACTTGTCAATGTGACGTCATATCGTAAAAGAGCTAGGTTCACTTTATGCATAAAATGGCCCTGTAGATAAACCAATTTATCCACTTACACATTGTGTCCCTTTTTCAACATCAATATATAAAGAAGAGACTTTGCACTTTCAGTTTGTATATAAAGGTTTCTTCTAAAGAGTCCAGATACTGGAAAACAGGTTGTGTGAAATTGCAATGTTCTTGAATTTTGCAGAAAACAGGTGAATTTTAGAACCTTCAACAAAGAATTGAAATATGAGCACACTGCTTGATCCGAAAATAAAAGGATGTTTTGTAATCTTAATAAGCAGTTCTTTCATAATATATTTGCACATTATGGATCGGAGGTTGTGATTTATACAAAATATTGAAAATAGTTTGGCCATTTTTAAGGAAATATTCGGAATATATGAATAATGAAGCAATTCATGACGTCATAATGCATTGACTAGCAAAAAAAATTACGTCAATTTTAGTAGAAATTCAGTCATCAAGTGTTTAAGTGATATTTATTGCCTTGTCGACTAAAAGTACGCAGTTTTAATTTTTCAGAAATTAATGGGGCCAAAAAAGACCTGAATGGCCCTTGCTCTTTGACGCAGTTTGTAAGCAGTGAGGGGCGGATTAAGTTATATTTTATACAATGAAAAATATATCTTGTAATTGAATAAAATATTATTTGCAGATATATAAGAGGCCATCAACTTGGATGCGATGTCTATTTTATGATTTTATTCATATACTTCCTGTACATCCTCTAGACAAGCGATACTGCCGTATCTTTGTATGCAGATTCATTGAAGGGTAATAGAAGTGTCGTAATAAATCGTTATATTGCAAGGGCATACCCTCAATTAAGGAATGTTTTTAAGTTTTGTGTGAGTTATTGGTGTGTAAATCACACAGACTTGTCACACAGGCATATTTCATGAAGCGCGTACAGTTCTCTACTTGTGCGTCAGGTAAACATCAATATATATTTCAAGGTTCGGGGAAAATCGGCCCATAGCATACTTTGGAAATTAACACATATAAAAAAAAAACTTTCGTGCATATTTTTGCTATTTTTTGAGCATTCAGAATTACATGTGATGAATGAATAAAACATATTATAAATCAAATACCTGCTAATAATAAATTATTTAAAAAGAAGCCTAAAATTATATCTTTGTAATGAAATATATTGTAAGAGATGTGTGAATTCCTTGCAGAAAATCTTAGTCAAGAAAACGCTTATTCCGGTGTGGCATCACAGAGTCACTCTTACGTAACTAACTTAGCAGACAAAGCAGTTGACGGATATCTTGAAGAGGAGCGTGGTGAAAGCACGTGTAGCTTAACCCTTGCTAAAGATCATTACAGAGAGGCTTGGTGGAAATTATCGCTAAAACTCATGTCTAATGTAGCTTATTTGGAAATCTTTTTCCGAAATTCAAGTAAGTTTTTCGTTTTCCTATACAAATGTCATTTAAGAATTGTGATTTAATTAAGCATTGTATTTTTTTTTATATCGTCGGTCGTGAATACCGCGCGTTATTATATATACATTCACAAATTTTCTCTCTTCATAATTGTTTGTTGCCTTTATCTTTTATATGAATTTATCGCCTTTTTAGAACTGGTGTGCTTAATAGACTTTAGAGCCGTTTGTGACGTTGGAAAGCTAAATAACGCAAATGAACATTTCGAGAAAAAACGATGACAAATTAATTTTAAACGCACAGTTGTTATAATTTTACGATAATTTACGAGGGTATTTTTTTTAATTAAATTGAGCCAAAACAATATACATTTTGGTGTTCCAACAGTATTGAAAATGCATATATTTCCTACTGTGTATTCTACCGCTCGGTGACAAGGTTTCGCGTATGTTTTAGAGATTTGAACTTCGTCGATTGGAAAT